GTGTCTTGAAGAAGATATTGCTTCTCCTTTCATCAGCACAGTTATGGACACACAGCCGTGGAGATCTCCTGCAGGGCCTTGTCCTATCCCGACAAAACAACTGAGCTATGCAGCATCCAGAGAGCAGCCTCCTGCCCTCACTATTCCTGTGGAAATCTAGGTAATACATAGCAGGTGAACGGCTGGTTACAGTGGAAATCAGTTGGAAATTGGGATACAATTTCAAGGACACTGTCTCTGTGAACGACAGGATCAGGCAGGTCTGCCACTGGGCCCAAACTCTCCTGGCCAAGGTAACAGCTTTAAGGACGGTTACCTTCAAAGAGTAGGACTGAGGTGGAGGCTCAGGGTTCAAACAGTGGTTTCATGAGTTGGGAATGGACCAAGTTCAGGTCCCAGGACAGAGATGGTCTTGATACTGTGGGAACATTCTGACAATGCCTTTTAAGAACCTGATTCTTGTGGGATGGGTGAGAACTGACCAGTCCTCTACTGAGGATGAAAGGCATCGACAGCTCTAAATAAACCCTTAATGAAATGATGACTAGGCCTGCTGACTTCCAGGAGAGGAGACAGTCCAGGATAAGAGGAACGCCAGACTCCTCTGGAGGCAAATTGTGCCTCTGACACCTCTTGGAGAGCTGCTTCCACTCAGCAGCGTAACACTTCCTTACAGAGGGTTTCCTGCTACTGAGAAGCATGGATCTTTGAGTAGGATCTCTCTAAGTCTGTTGCCCATCCAAAAAACAGAATGTCAGATGAAGAAATATGGGTTGGGATGGGTGGTCCTGTCCCCATTCTGTGATAGCAGGTCCAGAAATGGCTGCAGGCAAATGTATGGCAAAAGTAATAAATCAGGTACTTCCTGTTGTCCTGGGTTACAAAGAAGTTACAAAATGGGGATCTCAACTGGCAAAAGATTTGTTGGATGATGGACAAGCGCAGCTCCCCTTCATGGTCTGTGTGAGAATGCCTGCTGAGGCTGTCTGCTAGGGAGTTTTCATTCTCCCCCGTAGGTGCACTGCAGAGAGGATGAGCTGATGCTGGAGGCACCAGCTCCAAGCTGGACAGCCTCCCGGCAGGATGATGCAGACCTTGTTAATAAAGCAAAGAGTGGTCATGTCGTCTGATCGGACCTGGACAGGATCCAGGGGAGCACTTGTGTGCATGCTTTGTGGACGGCCCAAAGCTTGAGCAGGTTGATGTGGCATGTGAACTCTTGCAAAGTCCAGGAACTCTGATCTGTGTAATCAAGCAGGTGGGCCCCCAGCCAGGCTGCATCTGTCACAAGTGTCTTTGGGAGTGGGGTGGGAGCAAAGGGAATCCCCGCAAATACCGACTCCCTTTCTGTAACAGGTGAGAGATGCCCGAATGCTGGAAGGAAGGGCAACTCTCTTGTCTGAGGAGTCCTTGCGTTGACTTTCCTCAGCCAAGCCTGGAGATGGGTGTAGATGCGTGTCACCACATGGCCTAGGAGGACCAGACTGCCGTCTGATGACTGAGAAAAGTTGGATATGGAGGTCTCTCATTGTTAGAAATCTGTCCTGTGGTAAATAAACTCTGGGTGCAAGCAGGTCAAGAACTGCTCCAATAAATTCTGCAGTCGTGGGTGTTAAATGGACTTTCCTGGGTTTACCTGAAGTCCCAAGGAGCGGCACAGGTCAAGCAGGGCAGCAAATACTTTATGCACCGCCTGATACGATCATCCCTTGAGAAGCCAGTCACCTAGACAGGGATGTACTGGCGTGCTGCACTCCTGTCGTGCTGCACTCCTGTCAGGACTTTTGTAAAAGATGCCGATGCTGTGGGGCTGGGCAGTCTCTCGCTTGGGGCAGTTTACAATATTTTGGGAGAGGAGCCAGGGTGTATATTCGTGAGGAACGGAGGGTGGCCCAGGAGTCCTTGAGTGACTCATCAGTTCTTTCACTCAATAAGTTGTTGCCCCCAAATGATAGATCTTCTAGAGTGGTTTGGACCTCCTCGGGGAGACCCGACGCCTGCAGCCATGATGCCCATCTCATGACCGAGGTAGCCACAGAACAGGAAGCCATGTTCACTGCATTCAGGGATGCCTGCAGAGATGACCCCGTTACAAGCTTTCCTTTATCTGGGACAGCCTGGAAGGTGGCAGGATTGTGCCAAAGGTTTTCGGTGGCCTCATTTATAGAGAGTGCTTTGAAGTGGGTTTCAGAGCGCTGGAATCTCCTGGTACTGCTGGTGCCGGCTCTGGCTCCCTGTGAACTCTGGGTGCACCTGGTCTGGGGCATGGATTCTCACTCACCCCGAGGGGTGGGAAGCCATCCTCTTCTTTGACGACTTATGAGAGGACTTGTCAGTCTTCTGAGGAGTATGTCTTTCCCTACCCTCTTCATGCGTCCTCAGGTCTGCTGGAGAGCTCCATCAGGTGCCTGCGGAGTCGGAGCTCCGGGACTGCCCAGCACAAGGGGGAGAGGAAGGAGAAGCAGATCTCACATTTCGATGGGATGTGAGATTCCTGGAGGAAGCAGAGACAGGTCTTGTGAGCACTGGTTAACAGGAAGACTTGGCATGCAACACAGTGCTTGAAACCTGGGGCCTTGGGCGTAAATGCCTTGGACGTAGGGGGAATAAAGTGGAGGGAACCTCCTGACCCCCACTAACAGCTACTTGAAAAGCCCTAGCTAACTAATGAAGAGAGCCACATAACCGATAAACCATTAAAACCAGGTTTAATGTTTACAGGCAACACTGAACTGAGGCTAAGAGACTAGCGAACACAAGAGGGCCCGTCCCAGAATGTGAGCGGTAGCAAGGAACTGGAAAGGCAGCTGACCCACACTGTCACTTATACACCCTCAGTTCATAGCAGAGCACAGACACGGCTATTGAAGAATTTCTGGTCCTGAGTGCTTGGAACATGTGCACCCCCAGCCAGACCACGAAGACGTACTGAGTGTTTTCTCCAGCAGCAGAGGCTGGTGCATAGCATCTTATCCTATAGAGAAGCTCACCAAAGGCTGCCCTTCCAAACAGGCATGCTCGCCCACTGACCTCCTCCTCACCGCTCCCATTGCTCTGAATGGCACCGAGGCCACAGGTGGAGCGAAGTCCTCAGGGGAGACAATGGCTCTATGCAGTCAGGGGACAGGCAGCAGCGCTGGGAGGAGCAGAGGTGATGACCATCTTTGCTAAAGGCAGCTAATGGCCTCAGTCCCCTGGAGAACAATGGGAGCCTGCAGCCATTGTGCAAGAGGGCTTTTATTGGAGAGTGTCTATGAACCTTCTTCAGCGTCTTTCAAAGGAGAAACTTTCAGTTACGAGCAGACAGAAAACACGGCTCTTAACCCGAAACTTTTGTTTTCAAAAACCGCCTCTTGCACTAGATCTACTCAGGAGCCACCTCTTGCAGCAACACCTCAGCTGAGATGATTTTGGGGGGAAAAACGTCCGACACCTCTTTGCTATGTAGGTAGAATGTGTTTGTCCTCAACAACGAGGGTGGATTCCTGCTTTAAGTCCAAATCTTAACTGCACCTTACCTGTGGGGCAGCCCCTCTATCTGGTACTGATGTCTCTAGTGTAGACGCACCCTGAGTCTCTCTCTCCATTAAATCATTTGATCTCATTAAATCAGTGTCTATGGCAAAGGCCAGCCTGAACGGCCTGCACACTTCATTTAATTTACTTTAACACTGACCGTTTCTCTCTCTAGCTACTATCCTACATGAGCACTAACATGTTTGCAACGTTATTTTCTATATAAAGAATCCAGTGACTTGAATTATTGATGCAAATTCTAAAAGGTAGCAAAGGAAATAAATGGCATTTAAACAGCCCCAGTACAAATGTCTCCTCCGGCATCCAAGTCAGCAGATGCAGCTGGTTGCCACAATCTCAAACGGTGGAATTCAATTTTGTTTCCTTTCATGTGGATTTACCTGGCAGACAAAGTGTGCCAGTCTGACCCCGAGGCTGCAGTCACTTTAGTCCTCCCCAGATAAAAGCAGCCTTGGTTCCAGCAGAGCATGTCTCAGGGATCACACCTAGAGGCAAGAGAGCATTCTGTCTCAGAGATCCCTTCAGGCCTTGGCCTGTTTGCCGAAGTTGCCAACAGGGTTCGGACATAAAGCTGTTAATTTCTTCTCCATCATATTAACTTACAGAGATGTTCCCATCAGTATCAAAAGCTCCCTCCTCTAGCCTGGGATAACACAGAAGTGGCCAACCAGCCACGGTTCTTCAGTGCTCTACAGCTTGCTACCAAGGGGCTGGGGCACATCCCACTCCCGGGGAGTGGGGTGTTCAGCCCTGTGCAGAGAGGAAAACTCCACTAACTGCACAGCCCCTTCCACCTGATACAGAACAACTGCTTCCTGGTTTCCTCACTTCTCCTAAACACTCTTACACCTAGAGAGGCATTTGTACTAACTTCTAAACTGACACAAACACTGCCTTTAAGTGATATTTCCCAGTGCAGATTTGTATTTAACCAAGCAGGTGCACAGCTATTCTAAAGTCAGCTCTGTGAAACGTGTCAGTTGGAAGATGGGTGGACTGGAAAACTGGATCTGTACAGAAAAGGTCTGGAGGGAGAAGGGAAGAGAAACAGTGGTGTAGTCAAGTGAGTGGCATAAGGCTGGGGGCTTAAAATATCATGCAATCTACTTTCACTATTCAAACGGGAGCTCCTAAATAATTGCCGAGAGTGCTGGAGGGATTCTGCTGCTGTGAACCTCGCCCTAGATTTAAACACATGATTTATAAGAATGATTCTTCAAACCTGCGCTCACTGAGAACTTCTCCATTGTAAAGATTTAAAATAGCCTGCACCAAAAATATTCACAGTTTATTTTTCATGAAACAAATAACTAGGTAACACATGACATTGCAAAAACAGAGTTGGACAAAGCAGTGCAGATGTCTTTTCTTGTTCTAGCTCCGCTGGCTGGGCGGCTGGCGCAGAGGACACCCTACTCACACAATCTACATGGCAAAGTCCAGCTCATGGGAAGGGCTATCAATGTAAATTAGAGATTTATTTTCCTTCTCACACATGATAAATACTTAACATACGGAACCTCATTACCTTTTTTTTTTTGTAATTTTGTTTTTATTTTAAAAACTTAATAAAATGCCCTTAGTTTATCCTCTCTCAATGGCTCTGAGGAGACATCCTGATTCCCTCTGTGCAGGAGTCACGCAAAACAATAGCTGCTTGCATCTCCCCCAGCTCAGCAGAGATCAGGGACTGACCTGCAGGTCTTCATGGAAAAACACTAAACACTAAGATTCCATAAGCCATACAGCTTTTCCAAGTCACGAGCTACACAGAGGGGTCTGAAGCGATTCAGACTGGAGAGGAGACACACGACAGCACTGCCCAGAGGGGGACTCTCTTGGGGAGCTGACTTTGGAAAGGAGACTGGAGCAGGATTTGCCTTGTTACAGAGATCTCTCTCCCTATCACAGAAACCCGCAAAGCTAATTATCGCCCTCTCTTGGAGCAGTGCGAACATGCGAGCTGAACGCCAGCCTTGACCTGTTCCCGAGTCAGAGGAAAGGGGCTAGTATCGAACTAGGGCTCCCCCCTCTGGGGAGAGACCTACTGCTCTCTCTGAAACAATGGGGGACATAGGCTGAAGCTGGACTCCTGCTGCCCAGGTCAGTGGCGCTCAGGCGTGTAACGTAGGTAATGTGTTGGGAGGCCGTGCTGATCAGACAGTGCTTCCCGATGGCACAGCACACTGCACTAACCGTGGGCAGCACGAATGCAGACTGCCTGGCCACTGCTTCGCAGGTCACAAGCGTCACTTCCTAAGTCCCTGCCTGGAATTCTACCACACACCTTATCAGTGCCATAGCAGAGCGTATTCCTGCCTTAGCAGGCAGGTAATGTCACTACCTCCATCAGGTCTATTCGGAATATCAGCCTGGCAAGTCACCAGCATAGCTACCTTGAGTGGAAAAGAGAGAGGCCAGCCAGGCGCTAGAGCCATTGTGTTCCAGTGTGAGAACTATTACCTTGAGGGGCTGGTTTTCTGACACACAAACACTTCAACATAGTCCAGGTAATTCAAGTCTCCTGTGGGGATTTTTGGTTGGAAATACAGAGGCTAACCAAGGGGAACGGGGTTGACATGGTTTTCCGTTCTGGATACACCATGCCTTCTGAAGTAGCTTCTTGACTCTGCACTACGGAGTGAATTCCACAGAATTCACTGGGCTAGGGCTACCAGCCACTCTGCGAACAGGACTCCTAAGCACGTGGTTGAGATGGGGGAGGAAGAGACTATTTAGTTTGCTAGTTCATGGTAACAAGCAAGGTGAAGAAGGAACTGCCTGGAGCGTTCCGAGGGCAGCGCCTCTCCCCTGACAAAGGCAGTGCTCGGCATCCTTACTCATGCTCCACCCTGCTACCGCTGCCTCCCGAGCTCACAGCTTTGTATGTGCAGTGGCAATTCCGCCTGTCCCACGTGACAGAGCTAAGTTCCAAGAGTGAGAATCCTGGCACATGGTATCTTCAGAGACCTTCTCCCCCCACCCCCAATCACAGGGCCTGCGCAGGAGCAGTTCTCTTGCCCACGCTGGAATGAACTGTACAGTCTGGCAGGAGCAGGCTCCTCCACTAACTCCACGGGACTCCGCCATTTTACAACAGCACCTGTGTTTTGGTAAGCCTTGCACTGGTGACACATACCAATGCGCACACTCAGGCAAACACTTGCAAAGGAAAACCCTGTGGGGAAGGAGAATTGGGCAGCACAAGTGCTAAATCCCTTCCCCTCTTCAGAGTCTAGCAAAGACACGTGTCCAATTACTCTGTGCACCATTTAATCGTTGGAAACGTCTGAGATCCCAGTTCAGACTAGCTGTTCTGCTTCCACTCAGAACAGTTAAGAGAAAGGGAATTGCTTCCTCAGGGCCACTTAGCTGTTTGGGAAAGCCCTTGTGGATGCAGACGCGCTAGATCAGGAACGTGACCATTTCAATGGAATTAGAGATTTTATCCGGAGTGGACTCTTTATTTCAACGTTACCGTTTCTAAAAGGAAGAGGAAAAGGTCGCTGATGCTCACTTTCCGTGGCTGGGCCACACTCCGGTTTAGGTAAACGTCCTTGCTTATGTCATGAGAGCGCCTGGGCTTGAGGCTGGGCTCAGGGACGTGAACAACAAACAAAACAAAGAAAATCCCTCTCCCCAAACAAACCGACTGCAACCTGCCTGCCTCATTCACTGACTTCACTTCGGTTTCGATTCAGCCAATTCCTGACGGGGAGAATCCTGGTTATGGACTAGCACTATGTTTTGCTCAGGCAAAGGGGCCTGCCCCAGGGGTGTCTGTGCTTTTCCAGAGAGCCAAGAGATTTGCTCAAATGTCTGAATGTTCCTGGCAAGCCATGAAGCCTGCTCTGGGGGCACTGGTGCTTCCCTGGCAGGCCGGGGGATCTGTTCAAATGTACGTAACCTCTCTGCGGTCCAAGGGCTCTGCTCTGTGGGTGCTGATGCCACTTCCCGGTCAGCCTGAGTCGGCGGCTCAGGTGTCTGTAATTTCTCTGTGGTGCGAGGGGACTGCTCCGCGGGCGTCAGTGCTTCCACAGTGGGCCAGTGGATTGGCTCATAGGTCTGCAATTTCTCCATGGGCCGAGGTGCCTGCCCCACGTGTGTCACTGCCTTCCCTGCAGGCCGAGAGGTCTGCTCCTCAGCTAAACAAGTTCGCTCTTTCTGCTGCGGCTCCACCGCTGACACTACTCTCTCTTTTGGCTGATCCCCGGGCCTCAGCGCTTTCTCAGACAGCAGCAGCCTTGGAGCTGCGGGAGGCCTGTCCACCGCCTGACACCGCAGGGCCCCGGCAGCGGGAGCCTCATCTGACAGCAGGGGCTGCGGGCCCTTGATGGGAGACTCGCCCAACAGCTGAGGCCACTGAACCTGGGTAGCGGTGGGAGACTCGTCCGAGGGAAGAGGCTGCAGCCCCTTGGTTGGAGACTCATCTGCGGGAGGAGGCGGTGGAGCTCCAGCAGCGGAAGGAGACTCATCTGAGGGCGGAGGCTGCTGGCCTGTGGTGGAAAGAGGCTTCTCTGACTGCTGAAGCCTCAGGGATACAATGGTGGGTTGTTTATCTGACTGCAGCCTCAGAGCCACAGTGGAGCATGGCTTGTCCGACGGCTGCAGCCTCAGGGCCACGGCAGAGCAGGGCTTGTCCGACGGCTGCAGCCTCAGGGCCACGGCAGAGCAGGGCTTGTCCGACGGCTGCAGCCTCAGGGCCACGGCAGAGCAGGGCTTGTCCGTCGGCTGCAGCCTCAGGGCCACGGCAGAGCAGGGCTTGTCCGTCGGCTGCAGCCTCAGGGCCACGGCAGAGCAGGGCTTGTCCGACGGCTGCAGCCTCAGAGCCACGGCGGAGCAAGGCTTGTCCGATGGCTGCAGCCTCAGGGCCACGGCAGAGCAAGGCTTGTCCGACGGCTGCAGCCTCAGGGCCACGGCTGAGCAGGGCTTGTCCGACGGCTGCAGCCTCAGGGCCACGGCCAGAGGAAGCCTGTCAGAAGGCGGACGCCTGAGGCCCAGGGCTGCAGGCTGATGGTCAGAGGGCTGCGTGTTTTGACGGCTAGCCGGCGGGACTGTGGGAGGCACATACTCACGGATTTCCCCTGGCTCTAGAGGGTTCGGTCCGCAGGGATCATGCTCTGTGCACGATAAGCGTCCATCCAGTTTGGAGATAAAGAGCATGCCCTCCCGGTGCTGCTTGCAGAAGGAGCTGGGACACATCTCACAGAAGGAAGCTGCTTCTTTGCCACACACATCACACTGATGCCAAGGGCACTCCCACTTCCCTGCAGCACAAACAGGAGAAAAGGCACCTTAGGAGGAAATGTAACAAAGCTACCCAGTTGGAAAGCTACGGCCCAGGGCGGGGGAGACCTGCTTGTAACGGCTCTCACTAAAACAGTGCCAGAAATTTCCCTTCTCTGCTCCTGCACCAGTTGCCTTGGAACCATTACACCAAGCACAGAAGGAAACCCAGACTCCCCCAGCACAGGGTAATGCAAGGAAAGTCCTGCTTTCGAGCTAACCCCCTACTGAAAGGTTCCAGATGTTTCCGGTTTCAACTAGGGCTGAGTGAATTTGAGGGCAACTTCCTCCCTTCACACTGATGTGAGAGAAGACACTGGAAGACAAGGAACTGAGGGCTTGTCTACACTACCGCGTGGGGTCAATCTAAGATACGCAACTTCAGCTACGTGAATAGCGTAGCTGAAGTCGACGTACTTAGATCTACTTACTGCGGTGTCTTCACTGTGGTAAGTCGACAGCTGATGCTCTCCCGTTGACTCCGCTTGCGCTCCTCGTTCTGGTGGAGTACCGGAGTCGACGGGAGAGTGCTCGGCGTGATTTATCGCGTCTAGACTAGATCGATCACTGGATCGATCGCTGCCCACTGATCCAGCGGGTAATGTAGACAAGCCCTGAGTTTCTCTGGTCTCCCCCTGTGGGCACAGGACAATAGTTCTTTACAGAAGCAGTTTGGAGTTTCACTCACTGCTAGTATCAGAACCATCCTGGAGAAAAACAATCACCCCCAACGTGCAGCAGAGTCAATTGCAGGCCTCTCTGTGGATTCAGTCTGTAGCGCTCCCCAGCCGGGCACACACAGCACTGGTTGTCACTGGCTACCGAAAGCCTCTAGTTTACAGATTCATAGAATCTGAGCCCAGAAGGGACCATTAGAACATCCGGTCTGACCTCCTGTGTACCACACACCATTACATTTTACACTGTTACCCCTGTATGGAATCCAGTCACTTGTGTTTGGCTAAAGCATCTTCCAGAAAGGCACCAGCCTGGCTCTGAAGACATCAAGAGATGGAATATCCACCACGTGCCTGGGAGTTTGTCCCACCGGTTAATCACCCTCTCAGTCAAAAAATGGGGCCTAATTTCTCATTTGAATTTGGCTGGTTTTAGCCACCCACCATTAGTTCTTGTTATGCCGTTTTCCCATTAGATTACAGAGCCATGTAGTACCCAATATTTTACCTGTGAAGGTACTTATACTCCATAATCAAGTCATCTCTCAATCTTCTTTTTAATAGTCTAAACAATTGAGCTCTTTATGATGAGAGAGTTAAGGTAACTTCTCCAGCTCTCAAATCATATTTGTGGCTCTTTTCTGACCCTTTTCGATTTTCTAACATCCTTTTAAAAACACGGACACAGCATTCCAGTATCTTCTCAGCGAGGCCATATACCGAGGTAAAATCCGCTGCTGACTCCTACGCACTACTGCCGTTTACGCATCCCAGGATCATTGCCCTGGGAGCTCATGCTTGTTCACTAGGAGTGCCTCAAACCTTCTCAGAATCACAGGTGCCCACTCAGGAGTGATGGCCGGCCGGCCTGCCTTGTCCCTAGATGTAGAAGGTTGCATTTGGCTGTATAAAAACCCATTTTGATTGAATGGGCCTGCTTACCAAGCAATCCAGACCCTTCTGTCTGACTCCCTGCCCTCATCACTATTTACCACTCTGCCAGGCTGTGTGTCACCTGCAAATTGTATCAGAAGTGATTTTATATTTACTTCCAGACCGCGGATAAAAATGTTGAATAGCGTTGGGCCTAGTACCAGCCCCTACAGCCCACTAAAACACCTGCATTCAGTGACGAGTCTCCATTTATGGTTACTTTGAACTCTGTCAGTTAGCCAGTTCTTAAGGCATTTAATCTGTGCTGTGTTGCTATTGTAAAGTGCCCATTTTCAAAAGCAGAACGTCATGTGGTCCTGTAATAGGGTGGCTTGCCCTTGGGATGGAGAGCCTGGGGCTACGCCAACCTGATAACAGGACAAACCCCACCTGTGAGGGCCCAGGGGATTTCCTGTATACAAAAAGCTGACAGGGCCCAGCTGGGGAAAGAGCTGGAGGGAAGAGCCTGCAAGGAGCAAGGTGGTCTCTGTGGGGCCCTGAGTCAGAAGGCCAGTCAGTGCTAGAAAGGAAGCTCAAAGTGGGGAGACAAGCTCCCCAGGCTAGGAGACCTGGGACTGACCTGATCAAAACTGGGAAGAGACTGAGAGCCCCAGAGGGGAAGTAAAGAGGCAAGGTAGGAAATGGCCGAGGGAAAACTGCAACATGGGAAAAGGACAGTACAGGGCCCTGGGCCAGAGCCCGGAGTCAAGGTTGGGACTAGGTTCCCTTACAAGCCCCAGCAAAGGGGGCTGCAGGCCGAACCTCGAAGACAGGTTGAAGAACAGAGCCATAGAGGGCAGGAGAATCGTTTTTTGCATTCAGACATTTTTGGGACTCCTTAGTTTGGACAAGTGTGACACCAGAAGGAGTGGACTTAAGACGGTGACCCAGTGGGAGGGCTGAGGTACTACTCCAGAGCTGGTGACCACTGGCAGGGCGCACGAGCCCCACGGGAGAGCTGCAATGCCGTATCTAGTCCTGAGGGGGCGCCTGGGGTGAGTGGACTCGCTTACAGGTACTAAGTCAAACACCTCACAAAAGTGTAAGTATTTTAAATTTACGCAGTTACCTTTATCAACCAAACTTGTAATCTCATCAAAGAATGAAATCAGGTTTGTTTGATAAGACCTATTTTCATAAAACCACATTGACTTGCATTAATTATATTCCTGTCCTTTAATTATTTATCAATTAAAACCTATATCAGCTTTTGTTTTATTTTGCTAGACAATAAATAGCTACATCATCCCGTTTGCCCTTTTTGAATATGGGCACAACAATAGTACTCTTCCAGTTTTCTGCAATTTCCCCAGTATGCCAAGATTTATTAAAAATGAACATCAGCAGACCAGCGATATCCTCAGCCAATACTTTTAGGACTCTTGGGTGCTGAATTAAAAATGTTTATCCCTAGCAGTTGTTGTCTAACACTCTCCTCAGTCACTAATGGATTGGAAAATACTTCATCATCCTCATGTGATACGAGTACATCATCCTGCATCTTTCCAAATACAGAACAGAAATATTTATTAAATACTTCTTCCTCTTCTGCATCAGTATGAAGAATTTTACCATCTGCATCAAGTAATGGGCCAATACCACTGCTAGGATTTATTTTGTTCCTGATATATTTAAAAAAATCTCCTCACTGACCTTAGCCCTGCCAGCAATGGATTTTTCCCTGCTGTCTTTAGCTTCCCTTATCAATTTTCTAAACTTCAGAATAATAATATATAAATTAGAAGTTATATTTCCCCCTTTTTTCATATTTGTTATATATTGATTTTTTATTTCTAATTTGCCACTGAACCAGGATGGGCTTTTAACCAAACTTCTCCTCTTTCTTGATTGTGGAGTTGTGGCTTTTGGGCCATCTAATAACTCCCACTTTTCATTCACATTTTATTGCCTAAATGTGTTTCTGCTTCCCCAGCTCCCAATTTTGCTCATAATTTTTCTCTGCTTTGGGAAATGAGCCCTTTTGAAGCACCCAGTGTATATATTACTGGTTGGGACTGTTCTCTGTTAGCTCACATTGAATGTCAACAGTTCATGATCACTGGTCCCTAGGTAACCACCAACTTCCAGTCCAGTGATCAACTCAACTTTATTCAACTGAGGTCCAATATAGAATTGCCTCATGGTGGGTGTGATACCTCTTGTGTTGGAAAATTACTATCTATAATTTTTAGAAGCTCCAATTGTGAGTTCCTGCTGGTGAGCAGAGAATGTGCTTTCCCCAAGCCAGGCCTAGCAGTGCAGGTCTATACAGCTCCCTTCCCATGAGCAGAGCCCAGAGGAGTTGCCCCAGGCATTACTGACCTGCTGGCCGTTTGGTCAGGTTGAGGCAGTCTGCGTGGTACACTTTGGGGCAGCCTGTCTTCTTACACGAAACTACCTGCCCTCCGTCTCCACAGCTGAAGCACTCATCCTCTCGCTCTTTCATGACCTCTGCCTGTGACCTGCGCTTCACCTGCTGCCGTCTTTTGAACTTCTTGGACTTCTCCTCTGTAAGGTTAGGGGGATTCTGCAAGTAAGATCATACAAATTAACACTGGTCTCTGCCCCCTCTCCTTTCTCTCTGCCCCCCCTGGCTGATTTAAGCAAGTGGCACAGGCCATGCTGAAGTATCCTGCTACAGGAGATCTGCCCATCTAGCACACAACTGTCGTCTCCAAAACAAGGCAACTGGGGATACTCTGCATGTTCAAACAGAGGAAAAACTGGAATGAAACCCAAAGCAGAGTAACAATTCCATTTATACACAGCAGGGCCAAGCCACGTGAATTCCTGGGTTTCACGCCAGACTAACCTTCCTCCGTAGGCGTGGACCCAATCTCGTCTTTTTTTTTTTTGTAAACAAGAATCAAAAACGGATACGTTGGTGATTGAATGACAAACTCCAGGCAGTGAGATTAAACAAATGGAGAGATGTAAGTGTTTTTACACATTAAAGAATTAAAAGTAGATTTGCTTTCATCTTACCCTGAAAAGTATCAAAGCCATGGACAGCGATTCTTGGATGTTAGCTTCCTATTATGTAGTGCATTTTAATACCTCTCATGATACATGCCATGCGTTATGCTGAAGTGAACGTGATGTGACTGGTGCTTTCAACCCCATCTAGGGCAGTGAAAAGCATCCCATTCTGGGAAATAACTGCTTTGCAGAGGATACATACTTAGAAAAACAACATTGCCACTGAAACCTGAGACATACTGGCATCTGACACAGCTGTTTCTAAATGTTTCATGAACCCCACGTTAACTGTCTGTTGCTGTTACTGTATCTGGAAACGGTCTAGAAGCTTTGCACTGAGCGGGTTGGTAAATGTGCACTACATTGTATTTCGCAATGGCAAAGTAACACACAATGGAAATAAGACTGAGGATTGCCAGACTAGATGGCTCTCTCTGATGAATGATGCTGATCAGAATTTAACAGAACTCAGACTGACGTATTTCATTATTTGGCTATGTTCTGACACGCTGAGTTTCTCCCCTTTTCTGGTGGGACCGCTGGGCTATTACACCAGTTGTAACTGCTCTAGGTACAGTTGCAGCGGTTCCCACTCTTACAAAGCCTTTCCTTTTTCAGCTAACATTTTCCATACTTGGATTTTGCCAAAAGGTGATTGTTTCTGGACAGCTTGACATACCCCTGGGAAGTTGGTGAGTAATGAGAGGATTTATTGACACACATTGTTCCCCACTACAAGAAACCTGACCACCATCGAGGGAATAACTAAAAGACCAGCTGAATTTGAAACTTCAAACTTTAATGTAAATAACCCTCTCGGCCAGATTTTGTCCTGCCCCTGAGCCTGGGCATCTGGGGGTGGGGGTGGGGGGGGGAAGCAGGAGGTGAATGCCATGCAGGGAGTGACTGCACGGAACACAGGGTATTTGAATAGCAAGGGCAGTTGTGAAAGCAGGTGATCACTCTAAGCAAGACCCTGCAATACTCTCTTGCTGTGAAATATACTCCTTGCTAAAGAATTATTCTGCACATTCCGAGGCCTGGTCTACACCTAAAAATTAGATCTAGCTACATTTCTCATGGCTGTGAAAAATTTTGCACCCTGTGCAACATGTAGTTCGGTCATCCTAGCCCCCACTGTCAACGTGGCTAGATTGATGTCAGAATTCTCTGTAGCTTAGACACTTCCTACATCAGTGGAAAGGGGAGAGGTGGATTAACTACGTCCAAGGGGAGAGGGGGATTAACCCTTTCTATCGATGTAGGAAGCATCTACGCTACAGAGGCACAGCTGCGGCACTGTAGCCTCTGCAGGGTAGAAGTGGCCTGAGTGCTGATTTTTTTTTTTTTTTTAACGTTTTCCAGCCTTTATGGTTTTAAAGATAGCCTTTAAAACAAACAGAAGGATATGGAACAGCTGCCGTGTGAGGAGAGATTAATAAGACTGGGACTTTTCAGCTTGGAAAAGAGACGACTAAGGGGGGGATATGATAGAGGTCTATAAAATCATGACTGATGTGGAGAAAGTGAATAAGGAAGTGTTCTTTACTTCTCATAACACAAGAACTAGGGGTCACCAAATGAAATTAATAGTCAGCAAGTTTAAAACCACCAAAAGGAAGTATTTCTTCACACAATGTAGTCAGTCTGTGGAACTCTTTGCCAAGACTATAACAGGGTTCAAAAAAGAACTAGATAAGTTCATGGAGGATAGGTGCATCAGTGGCTATTAGCCAGGATGGACAGGGATGATGTCCCTAGCCTCTGTTTGCCAGCAACTGGGAATGGGCGACGGGATGAATCACTTGATGATTCCCTGCTCTGTTCATTCCCTCTGGAGCACCTGGCATGGGCCACTGTCATAAGACAGGATACTGGGCTAGATGGACCATTGGTCTGACCCAGTATGGCCGTTCTTATGTTCTGTGCTGTCTTCCTGAGTCTGCAGATAGCCTGAAACAATCCCTCTGAGGGAGTGAACGACCTCAGTCATCAGACTGAGATGTTAATTCTGGATCCCAACAATGGCAAGTTAAGTGTCAACACCATTCGCTATTTCACTGCTGATTGTTTTATCAGAAACATCCATAATGTGCTTATCATAAAACTCCAAACCAGCCCCCCAGGCCCAACGCATCAGCTGCTCCCATCCAACTGCCCAAACCTCCAGCTTCCCCCGATTTCTATGATGCAGCAAAAACAGGAGGCACGCCGGGCACTGAAAACGTGGCAACAGCATGCAATCAACTGAACTGAATATCAGAACAAGTAACCGAGGGGCTCACGGAGACAACTGTGCGATTCAGCTCTCCTGGAGTGAGCGGACAAGCTGTGGTTTTCATTGAAATGAGGCTGCTGAAGAATTTCCAATCTGCTACACCACAAGGCCACAACACCTGGGATCTCGCTACAGCTTGCTGTGGCGAACACAGGGCCTGGCCTGTAAACTTGTGAGGCTTTGGCGGTGCAGCGTCTAACTCAACTCTCAACGGGGCAGTTTCTTGGTTGCAGCACATACCCACTAACTCCACAGCACTGAGCTCACAAGCTGCTTTGGGGAAGCATGTGGAACTACTCAACAGCTGCGGCTCAGACTCTGCCGGCGAAGACTGCGAGCCAGGCCAACTGGCTCTGCATGTTTTCGTTAAGAAGTCCCCATCCCAAGCAAACAGTAACATTCAAAGTTAAAAAATTAATTCCTGTTAGTGCCACATTAAGGTTACGAAATCAAGTGCTCAAAAATCAGGACGCTCCAAAAGCTAACGTTTCTCCTCCGATGTTAGCTCATCCCTGATGCATGTACAGAGTGTTTCTGTTCCTATTTTACTAGTAAACTTTCATGTATTATTGCTAAACCCGTGGAGAAAGATACTTATGACTTCTCTTAGTGCAGACAAGCCCTCTGTGTGGGTCCTCTGCTCTGGAATTTGGTTCCTACACTGATTTAACAAAGTCTAAGATTCTGTGCGCCGGTAACTTAAAGTGATGTACTTGCATGTTTGCCCATCTCAACCCCAGCAGGATTTTCACAACCACTTTGAAAATACAGTGGCATTTATCATGGCATTTCTGTATCCCTGCAGCAAGCAGACCACTCCAATTCAAAGAGCGCCCTTGGAATAAAAAGAAGCCAGAGAAGGGCTGTCCTACCTTTGGCCGTACTCCTAGGAACCCGCTGCAATTCGGAGCACCACATTTGCAAACTGTCTTTCCATTCCCCAAACATTCCAGGTTGTAGTTGAAAGTCAGCTCAGTCCCTGGTAATAAAATAAATCAGTAGGCAACATCTGGACTGTGACAAACCACACGGCAAAAAGTTCTGCTTCTCCTGCTGAACTGAAGAAACACCAGAACCTACTCACGGCTGGCAGAAATATGGAGGGGCACCAGCTTCTTCCCCCCTCCCATAGGGTAGATCTGCACAGATTGGCGACTAGATGTGGACCCCATCACCTGCCACATTCCAGGTTTTGACATTGCATTTGTTTGCTTGCCAGTGGCAACCCAGGAATCATATTGCTGGGCCCTGGGCAATTATAACTGTGCCACTCTGCTCAGGGGCACAGACGCTCACTGAGAAGGGGGGAGGTGGAAAGACAGGGAGCAAGGGGCGCTGCGGGAGCTGGAGCCGGGCTGTGACAGGGCATCCCGACAGTTCTTGCCATTCCTAGGGCAGTACCTCAGTATCTGGCTCCCTCTGCACTGACCTCCCCCTGCCCAGGTGCCCCTGCACCGTCCCCCAGCCTATCCCAGCTAGCGGGGGGGCTTACACTGTGTCCCCGCACACCAGCGCTGGCAGGCCCAGCTGCAATAGTCTGCCGGGAAAGGAGAGCGGTTCCTACCTGCTCTCCAGCGGCCAACCCGATGCTGCGTGCCACTGGAGCTGCTCTGGCCCCTCCTCCAGGTCCCTCGCACCTCTGCCCCCCACCACGCATGCGCATGGAGATGGAAACACACCCGGGCCCCGCTCTTGCCTCCACAAGATATTGGGGGGTGGAAAACACGGGGCAGGTGGTGGAAACATACATCAGCCCCCCCAATATTTCCATTGCGGGGGGCCTTCGCTAATCCCCCAGTTCTGCTGCTCCCACCACACTTGTGTGTTCCACCCTTTGCGTACTGAGGCTTTGCTCCAGACCCTCGCTAGAGACCCTTCCCTTTCCTGCCAGAGGCTCCACCCCATCGATAACTCTGGATCAGCAACAGAACAAGGTCCCTTACCAGCTTTGATATTGACAAGAGCAAAGAGCCCAACCCGCGTATCGCCATTCACGGACCATTTCTGAGTCTCACAGTTGGGCTGGCAGCAATGGTTCATAAATCGAGCGTAATTGCCCTTCGGTCCGGCATCGATGATTCGATCCTAAAATCACAAGGAAAAGCAACTTTTCTAATGCACCGTCTCCTGCTCGAGCCACCCCACAAAGGCCCTGCCCTGCCCCCAAAGCGTGTTACGAAATACTCTCAGTGCTGGCTTTAAGTGCCTGGGTATGTGTTTTACAACGCTCTACAGGCAATACCTTTTACCGTGTGCACTTCTGACACCTGGCAGAAGCCAAACAAGCTTCTGCACTCTGTTTTCCTTTGCTGAGGCTTGCAGGCAAAGTGTAAAATGCAGAGAACTGCCCTTCCCCGACCCCCCGAGCATCTCTTCCTCCAATGGAGATGGAGGCCTCCTAATGAAAGAGACTGCTGTCTGGCACATCCAGCTTTTCCTTCCTCAGAAGGGTAAAACCCAGAGCTCGTATCGGGCCAGCATGCGGTGGCAGGGCATACCAGCACCACTCCTATGCTGCTCTCTTGTGCTCCATAATCATCTTCTTATTTATTATTTGTATCACTGAAGCACCGAGGAGCCCTAGGTGTGGACCTGAACCCCATTGTGTGAGGCGCTGTACAAAGAAAGAGTCACAAGATGGTCGGTCCTGCCCCAATCTATGTATAAGACAAGAAACAACAAATGAATAGACAGCTGGGGGCGTACAAGTAAACAATCAGACAATAATGGTCAACATGACAGGCGGCGGTCTCTGCGCACCGCTAGTCTAACTCTTGCCAACCTTTTTACAGCTGTCACAGCAAAGGAGATTTTCGAGACTGTATCTGCAGGTGGATAATGAGGTAGCTCCTCCCAGGCATGTGGGGCAGCACAGAGGAAAGCACAAGGGAGCTTGCTGGAACATTTAACACGTGGGCAGCGCAGGTCATGGGCCAATCAGAGGTGAGCACTGATGGCTTGATAGCGAATATGAGATGATTGGAAGGTTAGGACAGGCCATGAAGGGCCTTGAAAGCAAAGACAGGCAGCTTGTGTTTGATGCCCTAGAGCAGGGGGAGCCAGTGGAGGGTGCAAAGGGAGATGTGACATGGTCAAGGCCTGTTCTGAATGGATACGAGCAGGGTAAGGTCGCATTTTTCAAATCCAAAAAGAAGGAGGCTGCAGTAATCGAGAAGACGAGAGCTTGGGATGAGCATTTTAGCTGGACGGATGGCTGGGAAAGGCCGTCTCTTAGGCGCTACGCAGAAAGAAACAGCAAGATTTAGACACAGCCTCGATGTGAGGCCCTAGCAAGAGCGCCAAGCCGAAGAGGACACCAGGTTATGGGCCGGAGGGACAGGCAGGATAGGACAGTGTGGTCCACAGTGATAGTTTTCATTTGCCTTCCATGATGCCTGTTGGCGGAGCACTGATCAGGTTGTAACAATCACGCTAATGAACACGGCATGTCTGTGGTGCAATTACCTCTGCCCACCTTCAGGTTTGGGACTGTGCTTTGGTGCAACAATGTTGGTGAAAAGACCTGAGATGCCACTGAAAGAAAGGAGGCTTCAGGTTCCATCATGTCAGACCCATGCTGCTATGGGCCGGGTCAACCATCAACACCTAACTGGGGAGCTTGACCTGTGCTTCTTGAGACTCTGACGCCTTTCAGGCTTCTGGGTCAGCTCTGTGCAACTACTGGAAAAGTCGAAGCCCAGGAGGGCTTTTGAGGCGCTCACTCTGGGACCTGATTGCTCATGGAGGCAGGTGCGAGCGCGTCTCAGTCAGGGCCTCGAGACGCCATGCACGAGGCATGCCTGTGCACAGAGACACTGCATGGCTGCAGTTGATAAGCACTTGAAAGCTCCTGAGATACTTCTGCTGTCTCTGAAAGGCAAACGAGAAGGACAGAGAAGCAGCCAAGACAGCACGAGTGCAGAGAATGACCAAAGCCTCTGCTTGGTGCTTTGAATTCAAGTCATGAGGAGCCTCAGAAGCTCAATGATGCACCTAATAGTGGAGCAAGGGCAGAGCGCGCTATTGATCCCCTGTGATCAAGGGAGGCCTGGAGCCAGTGGAATCCCGTGCTCCCAAACAGTGCCCTAAGGGTCTGTCTACACTGCAATGTAAGCCCAGGGTTAGCAGAACTTGAGTTAGCAGACTCTGGGTTTGTTAACCTACGGCTTGAACTCATTTGTAACCCCAGGTTAGGAATTGTTGAAACCCGAGTCCCAACCTGGGGCTCCAGCGTCTACACTGCACTATGTGGGCCCGAGTACAAGCACCAGGCTTCTTAGCACCCTCCCAAAATGTGGCCACTCTAGCCCTTTGCTCTTGGTGCAGTGTGGGAAAACTTGACTGTCCAGAAGCAGTTGGACCCCTCTATAGTTGCTCCAAAGACACCCGGAGAATTTGCCTCTGCTGGGGTGGGTATCGCCACAAGCGAACAGGGCACAAGGCCAGGACCTGAGGCTGGAGAGTAGACAAAGGGCGTGAAGGGGGAGGGGAGCAGTGCTGTGAGGTCTGTGAGTTGACAATCAGCAAGTTACCATCCTAGCAGGCTCCTTCTCGGACCATAGCCAGAAAGGAACTGTGCTCTGGTGAACAAAAGGCAGCCTCAGGATCTTAGCAGGGGTGGCCTGAGACACTTTAGGCTGGATCCACCATGGACCCAGGAACAGAGAGCCATTAAGAGCAGAAATCATATTTAGAGAAACCCTATTGCCTGTCTGCCTATATGGCCTCTGTGACCATCACATCTGAGCACTGGGGAATCATGGAATGGTAGAATTGGAAGGGACCTCGAGAGGTCAGCTAATCCCATCCCCTGCACTGAGGCAGAACTAAGTATTATCTCGACCAGCACTTCTCAAACTGAGGTCTGCGAGGGTACTCCCGGGGGTCCGCGGACCCCGCTGATCAACTCCTTCCCCTCCCCTTCTCCCTCCCAGCGCCTCCTGCACATGGGGAACAGCTGTTCAGCAGGTGCAGCAGGCACTGGAAGGGAGAGGGAGGAGCAGGGACAGAGCACTTGGGGGAGGGGGCGGGAAAGGGAGGGAAGAGGAGGGGCAGGGCTGGGGCCTTGGGGGAAGGGCCTGGGGCTGAGCAGGGGACTTGTGGGTTATCAAAAAAATTTAAATTAAAAATGGGGGTCCTCAGGTTGCTAAAGTTTGATAGCCACTGATCTAGCCCATCCCTGACAGGTGTTTGTCCAACCTGCTCTTAAAAATCTCCAGTGATGGAGATTCCACAACCTCCCTGGGCAATCTGTTCCAGTGCTTAACCACCCTGACAGGAACCTTTTCCTAATGTCCAACCTAAACCGCCCTTGCTGGAATTTAAGCCCATTGCTGCTTGTCCTGTCCTCAGAGGTTAAGGAGAACAATTTATCACCCTCCTCCCTATAATAATTTTTTACGTACTTGAAGACTTATGTCCCCTCTTAGTCTTCTCTTCTCCTGACTAAACAAACCAAAATTCTTCAGGTCTTTCCTCAGAGGGCATGTTTTCTAGACCTTTCATCATTTTTGTTGCTCTTCTTTGGACTTTCTCCACATCTTTGCTGAAGTACGGTGCCCAGAACTGGACACAACATTCCAGCTGAGTCCTTATCAGTGCGGAGTAGAGTGGAAGAATTAATTCTTGTGTCTTGCTTTCAACACTCCTGCTAATACACCCCAGAATGATGTTTGCTTTTATTTTTTATGCAACAGTATTATATGGTTTACTCATATTTAGCTTGTGATCCACTATAACCCCAGATCCCTTTCTGCAAGACTCCTTCCTAGGCAGTCATTTCCCACTTTGTATTTATGCAATTAATTATTCCTTCCTAAGTGGAGTACTTTGCATTTGTCCTTATTGAATTTCATCCTATTTATTTCAGACTTCAGAAAGGGGTACAGTACTCTGGAAAGATTAAGAGCCACTGGTCTAAGATACTGGCAAGAGAGAGGCCCATCATGTACCTTGTCCAAAGTCAGCATATAGAAGTTGGTAATATCATGCTCCTGTGCGTAGCGGATTCGTGCCCGACACTCCTCCTCATCAATCAGCTCTCCCACGTATTCGTTAACAAACTCACCCTGCAAAAGAAAAAGTAGCAGGCGGCTGCTCTGGACTTGCTGCTGACGGAAGCAGAACTCTTTGGGGGAGGGGGGGGAGGCACTTCTGTGCTAACAAAGCTTGCTATCCATTTCCTCTCTGGATACTTTCATTTCATTAAAGACTAGACCCCGGGTACTTTGCAGCACTTTTCACCTAGATTCTGCAGCAACTTCATACATTTCAAAAAATTTATTCCGTAGGACTATTAATAATATAGTCACCCATTACCCCGTTCTATTTGAAAATAAAACATGTAGGGACAGCATAAAGAAAAGTGAATTTGGGTTTAGTGTGTTACAGAATTCCGTACTGACACCTGCTCCAGAACTGAATTACAGCTGTCGGTAGAACGGATACACAGCCTGGGTCCTGGAACACAATCAGCAACAAGCTTTGCAACATCGCAGAGCACAGGGCACCTGGTCTGAACACTGCTGGCATTTATCCCATGCAGTAAAACCTGTTCAAGAGGCCACCAAACACAGTGAGTACAATACTGCGCCACCTTTACCAAAAGACACCCCCATTGCAGCATCTGAGTTTCGCCGGTTCCTTGTGTGGTGGTTACAGACAGGTTACATGGAAGGTTTTCAGGGATAACCACCTACACTGCATCACGGGCAGCCCACAGAGGCCAGGTCAGGGGCCGAGTTTGGCCTTCCTTTCTCTGGAGACGCCAACCCCACCTTTGCTAGTCTGTTCTGCTGTCTAACAGCCCTTACACATACGTCTCTGTCCTCTATTCAACTTAATAGTTCTCTGCTTTCCTTTGTTGTTTAACACAACCCTCTTTACTATGGAGAAAACCTCTCTGACCAGCAGCAGATCTAGACTTCTGGATTTTAGAAAGATAGGGGTTTGGGAAGTAGGGGGATTCCCCCACATCCAGATATGCTAGCTTCAGCCATCACTACTGCTCTCCCAAAGACATTGCCCTTTTTCTGAGGGCTTCCCTAACAGACACTAATTATGACCTGGGTTTCTAAGTAAGATCCCCATGTGAAGAATGCCTGGAGATTCCAGAATGGAAGCTCAGTGCTCCCTGTCTGGGAAATCTCAACCCAGTCTAGGGCCTGCTATCTTAGTGCCCATCACTTTAGTGCAGGGGTTCTCAAACTGGGGGTCGCGAAGTTATTACATGGGGGGGGGGTTCACGAGCTGTCAGCCTCCACCCCAAACCCCGCTTTGCCTCCAGCATTTATAATGGTGTTAAATATATTTAAAAGTGTTTTTAATTTATAAGGGGGGGGGGTCACACTAGGAGGCTTGCTGTGTGAAAGGGGTCACCAGTACAAAAGTCTGAGAGCCACTGCTTTAGTGTCTGAGGGCCATATAAGCAGATGGACCAAACCATCTTCTAGGCTATCACGGGGAGTATTAGATCCCAAGGCACTTCCCCAGCTAAGCTAGAACATCCCTGCCACCTGGATGAAAGCAGGTCAGGAAACTAAAGTCATTCATGTCTCTTCTATATGGGCTCCTTTGGTCAGACAATTGAAAGTCATGGAAACCATAGGAAGAGGTCTATTAAGACCGGCTCAGTGTTACCACAGAGTAAAATGAAGACACATAATGGGTACCTTTTTAATGTCCCTTTTGGCTTGCAAGCCCCAGCCTCGTGCCAGCGTGCGGAAGATTTCTACCTCTGGGTACTGCCTCTTGGAGAAGCACTGGTTCTGACAGCGCTCCCCAGCCGGACAGACCAGGGGATGGCACTCATACAGCAGCATGCGATTGATGCATTCCGAGTCCAGGCCACAGGGGTTTTCATCGCTGTGTTTGCAGTTGCACCGTGGTATCTCAGACAGGTCTGCTGTGAAGATCTGCACCTTGCCCACTGGTCTGTTTACCTTGGAATGTGCACACACACGGTTAGCTAGCTAGGAACAATCGACGCTGCATTTAACCCCACCCTCTGAGCATACAGGTCACAGTGCATATCAGTTCTAGCAAAGGACTGAAGGCCACACAGGTCTAAGCATCCCTCTAATTCCATTCACCCCTAGCCTCTGGCTACACTCAAGAGGTGCAGCTTTACCACTGCCAGTCTGTGGCACGCCCCACGCATCATCCGTGTGAAATAACATGTTCTCCACTCCCTAGAGACAGGCCTTAATGTAGCTTCTCTTTGTGGCCTCTTGGTTTTGAAGAAGTTGCCTCCCAATAGTTCTGTGCCATCCACCACCCCAGACTGCACACCTGTGATAGGTTGCAGGGACTCTGCCTGGGCACTGGCAAACAAGCAGTTAACTCCCTACCCAAGTATGACTAGACAAGGCTGGGGTCTGAAGGCCCATTCTGAAACTCAGAGTTAAGCCAGGAAGCTCTTTAAAAACATCTCTGTGAGGAGGTGGAGGGCAGCACCAGATGGAGAAGAGATTGGCTTGTTTGTAGCACAAGCGGGGCCTTTGACTTGGTTAAAGACAAGGAACTCTGAAAGGCAGGCAATAAAGAGACACTCTCTTGTGAAAAGCCCTTTGCGGTTCTTTGTACCAACTTGCAATCCCTTCTGAATCCACTCCTCTGCAATGAACACCAGTAGGTTACTCACTGGTAACTAGAGCTGTCCTCCGAACCCCTCAAGACCCACCTCCATCGCAGTGGTTCTCAAACAGTGGGTTGGAACACAACTGCACAAAACTGTGTTTTCCTTCGCCACTGGCTAAACCCACATGGGGGAGAGACATTTCCGGGACTGTATATGACTGGCCTTTAGCTACGTAAAGATGCCCCGAGATGTCTCAGTAAATCAGAGCACCTCTGGCACTGATGTCCAGCAGTGACAACAGCTGCTACATGAATTCAGGTAGCAGAGAGGACAGATGAAGTGCTTCAGTATACTGCTGGAAGCTGCAAACCTTCCTGTCAATCCTCCCTGGGGGTAGCTAATCAGCCTTCAGAGGCATGCTCCACAGTGCAGGACTCTGCAAGCAGCAAAGGCATGTCTGTGTGTCTGTAAATATCCTGCACCAACAGCTCCGTGCAATGACCCAGGCCTCCCTCTAGCCCCACCAACTGGTGATGATGTGAGGTCCTCACCTTGATATGTTTGTAGGGAGGAGGCTTCTTATCATTCTTTCTGTCTTCCTGCAGCTGCCTCAGTTCTTTCTGTGCCTTCAGCTCTTCAAACCTCACAGCCGCTTCCTGCAAAGCTGAAAGAAAATAGACGCTGTGTTACAAGAAGCCCCTTGCGCTAGTGTTGAAGTCAGGTAGCCTGAATATTCTCCATGGCTATGTTTGTGCTCAGGTGTTTGTATGCATGTTTCTGAATGGGCAGGCCCACTCCAGTGGCTTGCTACCTTGCCCCAAAGAGAGATGTTCCCCAGGTGGAGTAACAGCACCCCATCGGAGGGGTCACTGAAGAGAGCTACCAGGAACCGAGTTGGAAGCATTAGCAGCCCCACTGAGGGCGGTGGGGGGCGAGGGCGGTATTAGCGCTGCCCCGAGATGCTAGCCTTCCATCACTACTTGTATCAGACGATCCCCTCCAGCACAACACACCGCTGCATCCAACACCCACAAGCAGGAATCAGGAAGAGGTAGTTTGGAAAAGGCCAGACTGAAGGGGCACAGAGTAGCTGTAAGGTAGGTGTCTGTGGATTGTTAGTGGCATCCCTTGTCCTTGAGGAGTTGTGTTAGGTGTTTGGTGTATTCTGCTTTACAATATTGTGTGTATATGAATTATTCTCACATTACAGATGGTGAACCTGAGGTGCAGAGTTTGTGGCAGAACGGGAATAAATTGGAATTCAGGAGCTGGGTGTCGCTTGTTACCCTGGCATAAGCTCAGACCTCTGACTATTCTGGGTGGGATCACTTATGGGTATGAGGCACAAATCAGAGATACTCTGCAAGCCTTGCTTCAACCTTGACTATGGGAGGACCATCGTTTTTCCACACCATGGATGCCCTTCGTGGGACCATAGAGGAACTGGCCCAAAACAATCTGAGAGCAGACACCTAGTGCCTCCCTAGAGGAAATGTGTTACCTTTCTTATAAATGCCATCCACTCCCTTGCCCATCTTGTCCTTGCTGCTCACATCGCCTTCCATGTAGGGAAACACCCGAGCCTGGTGCGTCCAGAGGTAATCGTTGGACCCAAAAAACAGCACAGGAAACTCGCCAATGTCATGTTTCATCTTTTGGATATTTACAGGAATAGTTCTAGGATGGCAAATCTCAGCTGGCCACCACCTGTCACAGGGGATAGGGACAGGAAAAGCAGGTCAAAGCTTTGACACCACTGCCCCTAAAAGCTGGCAACAGCGATTTTCCATTCTCTAGGGGCACTGAGAAGGAGAAAAGGAACTTTCCTGGGGCTTCCAGTACTTCACACAAAGCAGCAGTGTTGGGCAGAAGCTTGGCTTGGGGAAGAGGAAACGAACAGGGAGGAATGGTGCGTTCTACTATCAGGTGCCTACGTGGATTTAAAAACAGACCCAGCTGCATTTACATGAGTAGAAACCAGCACTCTCCAGATCTCCCCAGCATAGTCAGTGCTGCATAAGGAAGAGCTTTAACATGGACATCAGCTACATTTATTTTTACCCACCTGTAGCGCCCGACTTTTACCCAGACCACCTCCTTGTAATGTGGTTTCTTGCCAGCTTTGCAGTCGTTACAGTACCAGCTTCCCTCAGGCATCTCGATGTTCAGACACTCGCGGTGAAAAGCAGCTGGACATGACTCGCAGCACAAAAGGCTGCCCCCTGCATCCAGGAGCGATACAGCAGTGAGAGCCACATCACAAAAACACGGGCCCCTATGCTCCCAGACCGAATCAAACCGCCGGGAAGAGGGACCAGGCTCTTACACAAAGCTCGTTCCATCTGCCCAGCCACCCGATCTCTCTTCATCTCTCCCATGCAGAGGGCCAGGCCAAGGCTTAGGCACCACTGAAGTCCCTCCAAACAGGATTACAGTAGCCTACAGGCTTTGTACTCTGTACCCGTCACCTCGCTCAGGCTGGCAGCGATGGCCACATGCAGCTGAGGCCGTCTCTCAGCTCCTGGGGTTCCTGCAGGGAGGTGTTTGCAGGAAGACTAGGTGCAACCACATCTGAAAACAGACTCAGGCTCTTCTGCGGAGCTGTTCCAGGGGCAAAGTCCTTCCATCAAGAATATTCTCTCATTTCCTGCCCTGAGCAACTTCCCCCAGCCTGGATACAGAGACCTGGGAGCACAGCTGTCCAGTGAGTGGAACGGCGGTCTCGAACACAAACAAACCCTAATCCAATGAGGCCTGGTGGCAGCAAGACAAGTACCCTGACCTGGCATTGGACAAGAATGGGGGCCTCAAACTGGCCTGTCCTCAGTAGTTTTATCCTGCTAAGTAGCTGGTTCCTGCATTCTGTCTCTACCCGCATCGCCCCAGCGCAGGCCCTGCCCCGCAGTGCTCACAGTACACTAGGCAGAGAACAGAGGGTCTCACCTTCTGAGCAGACAAAGCACCAGCTGACATTGACGTGCTCATGGTTTCGGCAGCCCCTCCGTGGAGAGAAGTGATTGGGGCAGATGATGCTGTTGGAGGCGAGGATCACTGTCCCCGCAGCCAGACAGAAATCGTTGGCGTGGTATGCCACTGGACACCGAACACAACGCATCAAGCGACCTTGCGGTGGAAAAGGTTGGACACAGGTAAACACTTGAGGGAAAGTGACAATTATAATTTGCTCCTAGAACTTAGTTTTGTCAATATTCAGGCTTACAACAAACAAAGGGTGAAATGAGTCACTTGGCGAAGAGACACCTTGCCTCTACTTACCCCTTCCCTGTGTTTAAACTAAGAATGGCCTGCCCCAAATGGTGGGTGCTGCACCCCGTACAGAGGGGCTGGAGAGCAAGTCCATCCTGCACACAGCCTGCAGCATTGCAGCATGGCACCGGCTCACAGCTGGCTCCCCCCGGCTGTCAGGTGGGCATCGGCTCACAGCTGTGAGCCCCACCCCCCCACCTGCCTTCACGCTGACAGCCCAAGCCCAGATGGGCTGAGTTTCACAGCAGGGAGCCTCCCAGCAGTGAAATGGCCATTCTCGCAGAGATGGCGTTATGATATCGGTGTAGTGGGCCACTTGCTGCAGCAGAAGCAGCACTGTGGTGCAGACACTGACATAAATACGTTGATGTACGCTGCCTCACGTTGACCTAACTCTGTAGGGTAGACCAAGCCTCAGTTTTGGCCCAGCTTGGCCAGAGAAGCAGCTGAGACAAACCCGAATGGCACTGCCATCCTGGGCGCCAGGTTGCCACATCCAGAGCGGGGAGCTGGCCCCAGCCTGAGCATCCACACTGCAATATAAACCTGTGGCTACAATTGCTGGACCCAGGTCTCTCAGCCATGCTAGTGTGTCCGTACTGAACTACACAGACCTTCTGACTCAGGGCTGTGTCCACACTGCAAATTGACAACGAGTGCACCTGAGTTTCAGAGGAACTTGAGCTCTGCCCCCCCGCATCCCCAGCAGGGTCCTAGGACCCAGGTCCTGAGTCAGACTGATGGATGTGTATGTGTGGATGGAGCAGGGTCTTCGATTCCAGCCTGAGTCAGAGCCCAGGCTCAGTGTGCAGGGTAGACATACCCCTAGAGAGCAGCAAGTTCACCGGCTGGCACCTTCCCCTGCTGACCAGATTTACACAGCTCACAGAAAATGTCCCACGACGAAAGATTAAAGAACAGGCACTGGGCGGGAGACACCGAGCACCTCAAACTGCTCCCAAATTAAAGATGCTTTGGACGCAGGAAAGGGGCGCCTGCCTTTTTTTCCTGACTAGCCCCAGTAACTGCAGGCACAGAAGGGTTTCTTTACCTTTAGACGCAGAAAGGTTCGCTGGGTTAGCGGCATGACAGGTCATACAGATGTGCAGTGAGCATCGAAAGCCCTTGTTCTGCATGACTGTGGGTGGGTACTTCTGCACACACTCTTCATGATAGTACTTCCCACACAAGGGGAGCAAGCACCGCCTCACGTCCTCCCCGCTGCTCTTGCACACAAAGCAGGTGTGGACGCCTGGAGGAGAGAACACCGGTCACATGGTGAAAGGGAAGCAGAACTCTCAAAGAAAAAGTTACCACCTCCGGCCAGACTGGCTGGCTCCTTGGGAGCCCCCGGCCTGGACTGCACAGCTACCCAGCCCTCTCCATGCTCTCTGGCCCTGGCCATTTGTCTCATGCCTTCTGCCAATGGCACACTCGAAAGCAGCCCCACGCGAGCCCCCAGCAAGCGGCCTGCCCTCCCACCCGGCGCTGTACCTGTCGAACACTCATTGCAGATGAACTTGCCCTTCGGCATTTCTGAGAGCCCGAGGCACCGCAGGTGGAAAGCACCACAGCACTGCGCTTCACACAGCAACAACTCCCCCGGCTTCTCACAGATCTGTGTGGGGAGGGAACACAGCGTTACTTCTGGGACAAACCCCTGGCTAGATACACACAAGGCATGCAGCTGGCTGAGACTGCCACGAGAAAACCCTGCAGAAATCCCTTCATGCCAGCTCAGAGTGCCACCGCGACCACTTCTTCCTGAGTCCCCACTGTGAGGCAATGGCTTAAATACATCCCACTTCATTCCCAGCCACCTCGCTCCCACCCCACCGCTGCAGGGACAATGCACCCAGAGCCCGCTGCAGGAGGGACGGGCACTGCAGAGCAGTCATGCCGCATCTACACACAAGGGAGGTGCAAAGTGTCCAGGCAGTGCAAGGCACATGAATAACTGGACAGCCAAGGCTCCGGACAAGAGGGGCCATCACCAGGGATCCGGAGAACATTAGTTAACTCAATCAGATCTGCTTCAAGGTTGCCTTGTTAGACAGGGTATTAGTGTGCTGCACAGCTGCCCAACACCACCGGTAGTGCTGCAAAGGTTCACCCAAAGATCTTAGCTCCCTACCTGACAAACGTTCTCCTTGAGGGCTGCTCCTCCTCCTCGCTCCCCCTGCATCCTTTTGGATGAAGGCACTCCATGGTCATTCTCAGACCCATCCTCATTGAGCTCCTTGGGGCTTGCAGCACTCCCATGGATAGGTATCTCCCCCTTTAGAAAAGAAATCCAGAATTCGGACTGTCAGTGTTTCCTGGCCCACCCTCTGGACTGTTAGTTTGGCTATCAAGCACATACAGGTTTTCAGCTGGGCTGCAAGCAGTGCCTCTAACACTCATCCTGCCCGCAGAGGGCCCTTAATGCCCTGGGGAAAATGCCCTCCGCACTGTTCCACTCTGAGGTTTCATGAGGGAGGAAGCTTTGGTTTGTGCTTTAACCACAGGTATTCAATTTGGCTAGCTTGCTGCCCACGACCCATCTTCATGGGGCTCTCTTTGGATTAATTCTGCTCCAACCTGACCCAATAGAAACACTCAGTTTGGTGCCAGAACAGTCCTGGACCTGCCGATCTGGCCCAGAAAGCTTCCTCAAGGCACTGCGTACACATTCCACTGGATGAGATGCAAATGAGCAGAGCATGGTCAAAGCAACCATTATTTCATTCTGCATGTCGGAGCGCCAGGAACACACGGACAGTATTTTAACTAGGGAGGTTGGCTGTAGCGATGCTAGAGAACCAGCTTGCTAGTAACTGATCCAGTGGAACTGCGCCAGTGCAGCGAGTCCACCCGAGCCGTCTGGTTTAGGGTGCAGTTCTATTCTGCATCCACGTGCCAGGCTGGATTCTACGGCCAGAAGGGACCCTTCTGGTCATTTCGCTTGGTCTCCTGCACAGCACGGGCCACAGCTGCCAGTGGCACTAAAGCATCTTTCAGAAAAATTCCAATCGTGCTGTAAAGACTTCAAGTGATGAGAATCCAGCACATCCCTCGGTGAGCTAAGTCCATAGTTCCTTGCAAGGTCTGAGATGAGCAGCAGCAGCTGCAGAACTTCCAAAGCAGGTGGGGGAGGTGAGATCTTTTATTGGCCCCACCTGTGTTGGGGAGAGAGACCAGCTTTCGCGCTCACACAGAGCTACTCTTCAAGCCTGGGAAGGAGAGCCTGTCTGCATCTCTGTGGGGAGCTGGCCCCCACACTGCAGCAGCAGACCACAAGGAAAGGAGAGTCCCAATTCTCCTATGGAAGCCAGGTCCCCGGGGCACTGCCTGGGGTTGGGAATGTCCCGTGGGTGCCATGGGGATGAAGGTGTGCATGGCAATACACCAAGTGTGGCAGGGGCATGGGAGCAAGATGGCAAATGTGCCTGAGATCCTTGAGGGATCTGAGCAATTGGATTCACTGAACTTTGTTGGAGCGCAGGTGCATTGCATGTGCCTATCCTGTGCCCATTCCCATCTAGCCCAGAAAGGCTGTCACTCCAAGGTGGGCAAGCCCTAGAGGAGCCCTGTGCCTGGTTCTGACAGGCAATAAGATGGCCTGGCACATGCATCACGCAAGGATTTTTGAGAACTCTGCTCTTTTCAGAAGCAGACAGACTCGCACTCTTTCCACAGCATAGACAGGGAGGTGTCACAGAATCACTGCATACCCACTGCTCCCCCAGCTCACCAAGCCATACCCCGAGTACATCTGCACACTCAGAAGGCACAGAGTGGTGATCCAGTGTGCATTTGGAAAGCTCAAAGCAAGAGGAAGGTGCTGCTGACATGCCAGGACAGTCAGGAACACGAGGCCCCTCACAGCTGTCTGCTGTATTCTGCAAAGGCTGAAGTATTCTTGCAGCCATCATTCGCAGCCAGACTGAAAAGCAATGCCACCCAAAGCAGTGACTTGCACTTGGTGTGCCAACAAAACGTGAGACGCTGGGGCCACATCTTTCGTCTGGGCAGAGAAAGCAGCGGGGATGGATTATGTTGAAGTGTGCAAATGTCAGCGTTCCCTGCTGTTAAATACCATTGCTAGGGCTGCAGGTTTGTCATGGTGGTAACAATGTCACAGATACTGTGATTTCTCTGTTTGACGAGAGCTTTTCCTTGTGTCTGTGACTTTACTGAAGCAGGTTTCCCAAATGCTGGGTCGCTGACCTGGTGTGGAGCGGAGGGTGAGCCCCAGGGAGCGAGCAGTAGCTCCTGTCCCATGAGGCTGAACCTGGCTCCCTGCTATGGGAACTGCAACCTGGGGCATGGGTTGGCAGCGCTGCTCAAGTTTGGTCTGGCCGCCCTCTATGATGACCGAGGCAGCTGGGCCAAATCTGAGTAAGTGGCACTGCAAACTGACATTCAAGGCTGCAGTGCCACTCACTCAAATTTGGCCTGGCTGCTGCTCTGATATCATGACCGAGGAACGGCTGGGCCAAACCTGAGAGGGACTGCAACCCCTGCACCAGTGCAATGGCTGGAAGGGGGAAGCCAAGCCCAGCCCTGGGGAACAGGAGCTGTTGCTGGAGGGTGAATGCAGGGTGGGTTCAATTTCCAGACCCCGTCCCTGGGGCCCTCTCCTCCACACCAGGCCAGGATTAGGGTTGTGGTGCAGGGGCAGAGGGTGCTGTTGTGGGTGGTCAGTGTCCCCTCAGGAGCGGGGGGGGGAGACAGCGGCAGGGGGAAGGATGCTGGCCTGTTAGGGACTCCCCCAGGAATCTGGACCCTGGATGGGGCACAATAAAAGACAATATGAAGTTGGTGGGTCACCATGCTAAAAAGTTTGGGAACCACTGTCATAAAGTGGATTGAACTTGAATACTTGAATATAAAGAGCTACAGAGAGTTGACTTTTCCAGCCTGTGATGTCACACACCATTTCCCCAGAACTCTCTGGTTCTTACTAAATTTCCCAGGGCTGCTCTGTGATTTTTTGATTTAAAAAACACCACGAGAGATCTGCAGCCCTAATCACTGCCTCCTTTGCTAGTGCGTTTCTCCTTGTGTAGATGCCACCGTCACTGCAGACATTTTTAACCTGACAGGAGTTTGCAGGGAGGAGTTCAGGAGCGAAGTAGGGATGCACTGACAGCACACTGAAGTACAGGACAGAGATAAATGGAGCAAACCATGTTTATTAAGCACACAAAAGTGGAAGCTCAGCAGCAACAACAAACTAGATCAAAACCACAATACTACACACCAGGCACTTCTGCGGACGATAGGGGTACGAACGCATGTCCCTGGGAGCCTGAGTCGCCCTGTCCAGCTCGTTGGCAGGGATAGAATGCCATGGGAATGCACAGGAAGGAACAGACCAGTATGGCACAGACCAAAATGAGTTGCCACCATCCTGTACTGCAGCACTATACGAGGAGGTGGTATGTACAGGGCAGATGCAAGGGCCTGTTAATGGGATAATGGCACTAATGGGCTGTGTCTTTGAATGTGCTTTCTCAGGCATTCATTCCCTCTGGAATGCTTGCTCCTGCCTCCTCCTTTCTCTGCCATGAGGGGCGTATTACGTCAGAGTGCTCTTCTCCCCACTTGGCTTCTTCTGCCTGGAAGCTGCACATACGAGCAGAGTCCCCTTTGCACATCCCCCTGCAGCTCCAGGGACAGATCCTTTTGTTCTCCATTTCCCCCAAGGACTGGTGAGGCGTTTAGCCCCCTGATGTGCTCAGACACCTGATCCCTCACCTGCTCAGCGACTCAGCAGTGGTCCCTGTAACGAAGAAGAAGAAGAGGGTTAATAGGTTTACTGACGCTGGAAACCCTTGGAATACCAAGGAATGCAGTAGTTCTGGTTCCTGCTCACTTTGGGATTCCAGTGCCACTCACAGGACCTATCTGAGCAAGCGAGGGCAAGGACTTGGGTTATTCTCCTGGATAACACATGAGGACATGCTCAAGGAGCTGGAGAGGCACCAGGCATTTCCCTGAGGGATCTGGAAATTAGTATTACTCCTGATCGGATTAGTCATCTAGCTGGGCAAAGATTACCAGAGACTACTCTGAAATCTGGGGGGAAATTCTCTCTGCTGGACTGCTGCCCCATGTTTGCAGAGCACTGC